GAGGTTATTAGGGTGGGCCTTAATCCAATCTGGCTGGTGTCCTCATAAGAAGAGGAGGTTGGGACATGGACACGCCCAGAGGAAAGACCCTGTGAAGACACAGGGAGAAGACAACCATCTACAAGCCAAAGAGAGAGGCCGAGAAGAAACCAACTCTGTTGACACTTTGATCTTGAACTTCCAGCCTCTAGAACTGTGAGAAAATAAATTTCTGTTGTTTAAACCATCCAGTCTATGGTACTTTGTTTTTGCAGCCCAAGCAAACTAACATACCTTCTCTAAGCCCAGGTCTTCAGGTAGAACCCTCCTTGCTCTATAAATAGCCCAGACCACCTCCACTCCATTGCTCCTCATCCTCTCATCCTGTTGGAGTCAGGGACACAATGGAATCCCTATTCACTCCCTTCTAACTTCAGCAAGTTGCTCAATCTCTTTGAATCTTGCCTGCTTCCTTCATAAAACTGGACATAATGAACTCTCCCTGGGCATGCAAATTAAGTGAAAACAGACTGAATGGAGTTAAGGTCCAACTACTCTAGCATCTTCCCCAATTTTATCTATTGTAGGGGACATTTGCCATGTTTTGCAGCCCAGCACTGAGCAACCTGCCTCTCTGGAGGAAATGCCAAGATCTATGGGAGGTTGGGCCATGTCTCCCATTGTGTGCAGATGAATCTTCTAGCAATTTATCTTTGGGAGTGGGATAGGCAATGTGACTGGTTCAGCCAGACTCTCCTGTCAGGCCCTAGACTCTTAAAAGAGTGACATAAAGAACTCATCGAGGTGACAGTAGAGGAAAGAGATCAGACATGTGGCAACAAGGGCCCAATGATCTGGTGGTGCTATCCACTGGGCTGCACCACTGATGGTAGCCCAAGCAGCAAGTCTTACGGGGTGACTTTTCTATATTCTTGTCTAGTACTCCTTCTTTGTTTTTGTCTATCCCTAGAACTGGATCTTCCAGATTGCACATTCATTTCATACATTGTTTTCCAGTGATTTTTATCTTTAAATCCTTCCAATAAAATCCCTTTCTGCTCAAGTTAGAGTTGGTTTCTGTTGTTTGCCACCAAGTACTCTCATGGGTACATCAATGTTGTGTCCCTGTTTGCCATCAGCTTCCTTGAGCTCTGTTTTCTTGGGGTCTGTCTCAGCTGGCAATCAGATTGGAAAGTTATTTAACAAGTTATTTCACACTAAGATGAGAAAGATTTGCATAAAGTAGTAACTTTCCCCAAAACATTTGCATTTTGAAAAGGGCAAGGAAATAAGTGATGTTAAGAAGTTAGAATTCTATTTAACTGTCAGTGGGAGAGTTGATCCTTAGGACTAAATGTATATGTATAGCAGACTTGTCGTGCCTTGGAATCCTGTTGTTCAAAGCATTGTCTAGTCTGCTTTGGCTGAGAGTGGTTCATTTGAGTGGGTACCTCCCATGTTGGCCCTTCTGCTGGCATAGGTAGAGAGCATGGCTGTCTTTCAGCTTTGTGTTTTATTTAGATTTTACTGTTTTAACAGGAAAGTTCTGAATTTCTTACTTGAAAGCCCACTCAGATGCCTGATTGACCAGCATTGGCAGGTGAAGGTCACATTTTGTCCAAATGAGCAGGGGGGTCGGGGGAGAGGACAAGGGAGTATTTGTCCAAATGTTTTAATCTGTTGTTCAGGATTGATGACACATGGCATGACTAAGACAAGAACTTCTAAGCAGATCCAATGCAGCAGGGTGAGGGTAGAGGTGGAAAGCCAGTACACGTTACAGATCCCAAGGACAGCTTGAGCCAAAATGCAAATTTCAGGTCAATTCCTTTAGCCAGGCCACTGTTCCTGGCTCTAGCTGCCACCACCATGTCATTTTCATTGAGACTTTAATCAGCTCTTGATGGCCTTGCACCTAGAAAAAGAAGAGGAATTGAGGACAGAAGATGGTGGAAAGGACAAGAGTAGAAGCAGGGTCAGGAATGGGGCATTCTTCATGAATTAGTAACTTCAGAGTAGAACCTAGGCAGGAATAGCAAGAAGGACAAATTAAGTGAAGCAAAGAAAACAGTAAGGCAATCTGGGAAATGACACTACTCTCATCATCAAGCTCTTTATGAAAATACTGTGAGATTTAAGGGTCCTGCCTGCCTGCCCAGGTCATAGTCTGAAAGAAGAGATGGATGTCTTGTTCTGCACTGAATAGTCAGGATACTGAGTTTCTGGATTTTTTTTTTTTTTTTTCTGGGCAAGAGTCTTGTGAACAGCAATAGTAATTAGACAAGGCCCCCAAAATAAAGTGGTTAGCCAAACCTAGGGAGAGCATCATCTGTGAAATAAATAAATAAATCTTTTCACATTCTTGAAGGACTAACTTTAAGGTCAACTCACTGTGTTTGGTAAATCTCACTAGGGCTTTGAAATGGACTATTAACTCCTATGATATTTAGTCATGTCAAAAGGGAATTTTGACTTCTGAGGCTAGGTAGTTTCTGGGGGTGCTTTTCAAATGCCAACCCACGTTGCCTCTAGGAATATTTTCCAACTCACTGTTCTGCCAGCCAAGATCCCATCTTCAAGTCATTGCTCACTCCTCCCTCTTTGTGGCTCCTGAAGTCCATCAGCCAACAGAATCTCCCCCACTCCCCACTCCCACTGACCTTACTTTGTCTATGTTTATCCTGTTTCTCGCTTTGTCCACAGGATCCTCAGGGACCTCTCAGCTTCTAATTTCTTCTCCCCAGTTCAACCTATCCTTTCCACCACTGCCAGATTAACAAATATCCACACTTCCACATTATCTACAAAATATTAAGCTTGAGAGTGAAGATCTTACTCAATCTGGGCCCTTCTTAGTTTTCCAGAAATGAGAGAAGAATTTTAATTAATTGTGGTTTTACGCTTCCCAAGATTCTAACAGATGTTGAGAAAGAGTGTTGTCCCGGAAGAACAATGTCTGGGTGTCCTGCTTTTAGATAAATGTCCAATGAAACCCAAATGATTATTTTTATAATAAAAGAATGCAAACCCTATTAAGACATATTCTAATATGTTTTCTTCCTTAGATTTTAAGCCACATCACTGCAATTATGTGGTTGGGTGGCATCTGAACCAAAGGATGGTAAGCCAAAGCTGAGGAGGTAGAAAAGGAAGGGGTGGAGAAAGCCAGGGTGGTGATCTCTGGAAGGAAGCCAGATGAGAAGACTCTCTCCCCTCCGGCCAATGTTCAAGTGGTAGCACACACAGACAGCACACACTCAAATACATAGGCATGTGCACACATATACACACAGAGTTCCTTTACACACTAACTCATCAGTGCCCTTAGATTTCTAGAGCATTTCTAAAGCAGTCATTTCACTGTTGGGTTGCCTTGTTCTTTAGACTTCAGTATTTCTCACTTGGATATTGCTCATTCTCTTAACAAGTATGGTAGACAGGGGGGAGAAGGGCTAATGGTTTCCTAAACAGTAATTCTTTGAGGCATCAACCCCTCTTCTCCCTTTTTTCTCATACATTTTTTAATAGTCCAACATCTTTAGCAGTGTGAGATGATCCAAAGGTTCTCAAAACTTTTGAGTGCACAGCATCACATATGATTGCTTTCAAGTGTGATCTAGAGAGGTCTTTGTCCAGAGACACAAAAGTTACCATTAGTTATTTAAAATAGTCCATTACTATCTTGGATGCGAACGTTTCGTTCACTATTATGTGTATCAATGTGGGCACTTAAATTTCACTGTTTGGGGATTAACCACATTGTAGAGACACACAAAGATGTAAGAAATAAATTGAAAAAAAGGTCCATAGAAACAGATTTTACATCGTAAAAGAGAAAATTATTAGGTGTTAGAAAAATATAAATGTTGCAAACTGTGTTTTATATACTGCTTCCAAGAATAAAACTATGCCAAACATGGGGAAAAAAGGCATTGATTAATCAGATTTCTGGATGGCCCCTTCCTTTCACTCTTAGCACTGCTGTGCTGTTTTACAGGCAGTAACTCGGTCACCAAAGAAAAAACAATCTGAACAGAGGCCTTGGAGGATATGCCAACTTGAGGACTAATTATTGCCTTGTTAAACAGTGGGATGGAGTTATTATAAGTTTTTGGGTGTGGCAGTTAAAACGTACTCCATAAAACAAGTTTCTAGAAACCAAGAATTTCTCAAATTTAATAAGTAACTGAAAGAGTAATTTACAGAAATGTAGTCTTTCCAGGGAGCCTTTCATGAAACAAAAAAGTAAAAGGGATGTTGTTTTTTTTTTTTTTTTTTTTTTAATTCATGAGAGATAGAGAGGCAGAGGCAGAGGGAGAAGCAGGCTCCCCACGGAGCAGGGAGCCCGATGTGGGACTCGATCCCAGGACTCTGGGATCATGACCTGAGCTGAAGGCAGACGCTTAACCGACTGAGCCACCTAGGCGTCCCGAAAAGGGACGTTGTTAAATGGGAAACAGAATAGAGGTAACCCTTCCACATGGTTTTTTGAAACTCCTTTCAAAGCAGCTATCTACCAATGTTACCAATGTCCTGCATAGCTATTGTTCTGGAGGCTAGAATTCTGAAATCAAGAGCAGGGCCATGGTGTCTCTGAAGGCCCTAAGAGAGGTATCCTTCCCTGCCTCTTCCAACTTCTGGTGGTTGCCAGCAATCCTTGGTATTCCTTGGCTTGTCATCACATCACTCCAGTCTCTGCTTCTGTGATCACATGGCATTCTTCCTGTGTGTCTGCGTCTACATTTCTCTCCACTTATAAGGATATCAGTCATTGGATTAGGCCTACTTGAATCCAGCATGCTGTCATCTGAACTTGATTACATCTATAAAGACCTTATTTCCAAATAAGGTCATATTCATAGGTACTAGGGGTTAGGACTTCAACACCTCATTCCTAGCCCATGATGTCACCATAAAGAGAATATGCCAGAAGTTCTTTGTTATTTATACACAATGATATTAGTAATAGCTACATACTCAAAATAAAACTGGGGGAAAACTATAAAACCCCAACCATTTAAAACTTCTGGAAATGGTCCTAAGAAAAGGCAGCAACTGAAGAAACTTCTATTTAAGAAAATTTACAAGAATTTGGTAAGATAGGTGAGTGTCTGTGACATTTGAACCAAGACTGCTTCTTTCCTTGCCAGCTCCAGTTCAGCAGGGTAGTAAGTCCACTCCAAACTTCTGCAGCCAAGAGCACAGGGTTCCCTCTCCCTCCAGCATGCAGAAGGCATTCTTCCCTAGGGGAGAAGCATGGCAGTTCTCATCCTGCCCACAGTTACCTGTTTCTGAGACTAAGTTCCAGATGAGTGTGGCTGAGAGGTGGGGCTCCCTCTTCTGCTACCCAGCTACCACTTGTGGAATGGAGGGTCTACCTTGAGCATGGTGAGAAGGATGTGGCCCTGGTTACTCTTGTCCCAGCTCATGAGGTGGTAGAAGATGTAAACTTAGAGAATTTCTGGCTGCCCCTACCTCTCTGCCAAGTGCTCAGCATTTAGAGTGGAGGTGTCCCTCAGAAGAAAGCTTGCCATTGTCCCTACCTCCAGCTCCAGAGCCTGGCTCAAATGTTTTGAGGATGGGGTTGGAGACAAGGGAAGAAGCAGGCCATAAAAAGATAGTTTCTAATATTTCCTCAAAGAAATTAAATTATTTTGCAACAGTGCTTGGAGAACGTCAAGCTAAGTGTGCTCTCAAAAACCATGGAGATTATGGTGAAAGGCAATTGGGAAAATATTTAAGATACTGAAGGCTGAACTGTAAGCCTGATAGTCTGCAGGAGAAAACTCAGAATAAGTCCCTAGGGAGGAGAAAGTACACCAATATACAAGTAATGGGAGACCAAAGGAAAGGATAGAAAGGAACAGAAAAAATATTTGAAGAAATAATGGCTGAAAACTTCCCAAATTTATTGAGAGATATTGGTCTGTAGTTTTCTTCTGTTGTAATATCTTTGTCTGGTTTTGGTCCTAGGGTATTGTTGACCTCATAAAATGAGTTAGGAAGGATTCCCTTTCCTTCTACCTACTGAAAGAGCTTGTAGAGAATTGGCATAATTTATTCCTTAAGTATTTGTAGAATTCACTAGTGAACCTGTGTGGGCCTGATGCTTTCTGTCTTAGAAGGTTATTAAATTATTGATTAAGTTACTTTACTAGATATGGGCCCATTCAGATGGTTTGTTTCTTCTCATGTGGGTTTTGGCAGATTGTGCCTTTCAAGGAATTGGTCCATTTCACTTCGGCTACCAAATTTGTGGACATAGAGTTGCTCATAATATCTCCGAATTTATTGAAAAACAATTAACCTACACATCTAAGAAGCTCAACAAACTCCAAATAGGATTAATTCAAAGCAAGCCACAAAGAGACACATTACAGTAAAAATATTGAAAGTTAAAAACAAGGAGAAGTTCTTGAAAGCAGCAAGAGAAAAATGACTAACAAGGAACCCTCAATAATATTAACAGCTAACTTCTCAGCAGAAACAATTGAGGCCTGAAAACAGTGGGATAACATACTCAAAATGCTCAATGAGAAAATGTAAACTAAGAATTCTGTATCAGGGAAAACTATCTTTTAAGAAATGAAAGTGAAATAAAGACTTCCCCATATAAACAAAAACTGAGAGAATTGGTTGCTAGTTAATTTGCCGTATAAGAAATATTAAAGGAATTTCTTCATACTGAAAGCAAGTAACCCCAAATGGTAATTCAAATTCACATGAAGAAACAAAGACCACAGGAAATTATGTAATGACAAAACATAGTTTAATTACACATTTTTCTCCCCTCTTCTCTTAATTGATTTTAAGACACTGGTATAAAATAATATGTATATAATGTATTTGGGGCCTATGAAAACATAAGTATGTAGAATATGTATAATATGTTTGTCAGTAATAGCACAAAGCGTGTGAATGGGAGCAAAGCTCTATTAGGCTAAGGAAATGACTACAGAGTGCAAGGAAATAATTATAATGATGTATTGGGTTTGTAACATTAATAGATCTAATAATATATGTAAAAATAATATGACAAAAAGGGAGGAGGGAGAATGTAATTATATAGGAATAATGTTTCTATACATTAATGAAATTAAGCTAGCATAAACCAGAAGCCAATTCTGATAAGATATATGTGGTAAACCCTAGAGTAACTACTAAAAATACTAAAAAAATATATAGTAAAAAATCAGTAAAGAAGTTAAAATGCTACATTAGAAAATATTATATTCATATTTACTTAGTGTAAAAGAACTGTAAATTAGGAATAGAGGGCAAAAAGACATGAGGCATATAGAAAACAAAAAGCAAAATGACAGACATAAATTGAACTATCTCAATAATAATATTAAATGTGAATGGATTAAACAATCCAGTCAAAAGACCAAGACTGTCAGACTAGATTTTTAAAAATGTTTCAACTATATACTGTTTACAGGAGACACACTTTATATTCAAAGATGCAAATAGGTTGAAAATAAAAGGATGACAAAAGACACATCATTCAAACAACAATCACATAAAAACTGGAATGGTTAAACTGATGTCAGACAAATAGACTTTAAAACAAAAAAGTCATAAAAATGGACATTTTATAATGATAACAAGGTCAATTCGCCAGGAAGATATAATAATTATAAACATATATTCACTTAATAATATGACACCAAAATATATAAAGCAAAAACTGACAGAAATAAAGGGAGAACTAGACGATTCAACAGTAATAGTTGGAGACTTCAGTGCCTCACTTTCAATAATGTGCAGAATAGCTAGACAGAAGAGTAACAAGGAAATAGAAAGCTTGACCAACAGTATAAACCAATCAGACTTAGCAGACATCTATAAATACTCTACCCAACAATAACAGAATATACACTCCTCTCAAGTGCACATGGAACATTCTCCATGATAGACCATATGTTAGGCTATAAAATACACCTCAATGAATTTAAAAGACAAAAATAACACAAAGTATGTTCTACAACCACAATGAAATGTAGGTAGAAATTATTAGCAAGAAAGAACTGGGGAAGCTTATGAATAAGTGGAAATTAAACAACACACTCATAAATAGCCAAGGAGTTAAGAAATCAAAAGGGAAATTATAAAAAAGCCTGAAATGAAAGAAAATGAAGATACAACATACCAAAACTCATGGGATTCAGTTACAGCAGTCCTCAGAAGGAACTCTAAAGGTGTAAATGCCCATATTAAGGAAAGAAGAAAGATCTTAAGTCAATAACCTAACCTTTCACTTTAAGACATTGGGAAAGGAAGAACAAACTAAACCTGAAGCAAGCAGAAGACAAGGAAATAATAAAGATTAGAGCAGAAATGAATGATACACAATAGAGAAAATTATTGAAACCAAAAGCTGGCTCTTTGAAAAGATCAGCAAAATTGACAAACCCTTAACTAGATGGTCAATAAAAATAAAAAGAGAGAAAACTCAAACTGCTAAAATCAGAAACCAAAAAAAGGACATTACTACTGATTTTACAGAAACAAAAAGCATTATAAAGGAATATTATTAAACAATTGTACTCTAACAAATTAAATAACTTAGATGAAATGGACAATTCCCAGAAAGGCACAAACTGATAAAACTGACTACAGAAAAAACAGACAGTATAAATATAACTATGCCAAGTGAAGACATTGAATTAGTGGTAACAATAATAAAACTAACAAAGAAAAGCTTATGACCAGATGGCTTCAACCCTGAATTCTACCAAACATTTAAAGAATTAATACCAATTCTCCACAAACTCTTTCAAAAAACAGAAGAGGAAGAAATACTTCTCAGCTCATTTCATGAGGCCAATATTACTCTAATACCCAAACGAGACAAAGACATCATAAGAAAACATAATTACATACTAATATCTCTTATGAAAATGGACATAAAATTCCTCAACAAGATATTAGCAAACCAAATCCAGCAATATCTAAAAAGAATTTGGTGAAGTGGGATTTATCCCAGGGATGCAAGGTTGGTTTAACACCCAAAATCAATTAATGTAAAATATCATATTAATAGAATAAAAAAAATATCACATGATTGTCTCATGGATGCAGGACAAGAATTTGACAAAATCCAACACTGTTCAAGATAAAAAGAGTGAACAAATTAGGAATAAAAGGGAACTTTCTGAAACTAATAAAGGGCATCTATGAAAAATCCACAGCTAACATCATAATTAATGGTGAAATACTGGATGCTTTCCCACTGTGGTCAGGAACCAAACAAAGATATTTGCTCTTGTCGTTTCTCTTAAACATTGTTCTTGAAGTTCTAGCCAGGGCTATTAGGCAAGATAAAGTAATAAAAGCCATACAGATTAGAAAAGAAGAAATAAAACTATTCATAGATGACATGATCTTGAATACACAAAAAACTAAGGAATCAACTAAAAACTATTAAAATTAATAAACAACTTCATTAAGTTTGAAGGATATGAAATCAATATATAACAATAAATTATATTCCTATAAACTTGCAATGAACAATCTAAAAATAAAATTAAGAAAATAATTCCATTTATAATAGCACCAAAAATGCTTAGGAATAAATCTAACAGAAGTGCATAACTTATCCCTTGAAAACTACAAAGCATTGTTGAAAGAAATTAAAGATAATCCAAATAACTGGAAAAATGTTTTATGTTCATGGATCAGAAGGTTTACCTTTTTTTTTTTTTAATATTTTATTTATTTACTTGGCAGAGAGGAGCAGGAACACAAGCAGGGGGCGTGGGAGAGGGAGAAGCAGGCCTCCTGCTGAGCAGGGAGCCCAATGTGGGGCTCGATCCCAGGACACCGGGATCATGACCTGAGCCAAAGGCAGATGCTTAACAACTGAGCTACCCAGGCACCCCAGGAGGGTTTAACATTGTTAAGGTGACAATACTCCTCAAACTGATCTACAGATTCAATGAAATTCCTATCAGAATTCCAACTGGCTTCTTTGTAGACATTGACAAGCTGAGTCTAAAATTCATATGGAATTTCTAGGGTCCTAGAATAGTTAAAATAATCTTGAAAAAGAACAAAGCAGAAGGGTTCGTACTTCTTTAATTCAAAACTTATTACAAAGTCATGTTAATCAAGACAGTGTGGTACTGTCAAAAGGATAGACAAATTGATAAGTGGAATAGAATTGAGATTCTAGAAATAATCCATATATCTGTGGTGAACTGCTTTTTCACAAGGGTGCCAAAACTATCCTATAGAGCAAGAATAGTATTTTCTTTTTTTTGGAGGGGGGTTCTTTTTTTAATTTAAATTCAATTAATTAACATACAGTGTATTATTAGTTTCAGAGGTAGAGTTCAGTGATTCATCGGTCGTATATAACACCTAGTGCTCATTACATCATGTGCCTTCCTTGATGCCCATCACCCAGTATCCCCCTATGCCCCTCCCCCTCAGCAACCCTCGGTTTTTTTCCTATGATTAAGAGTCTCTTATGGTTTGTCTCCTTCTCTGTTTTTGTCTTGTTTTATTTTTCCTGGGTTTGTTTCTTTTAGTAACCAGAATCATGCTGTATGTACTGTTCTTTGATGTGCTTGTTGGAGATCTTCTCAGTCTAGCACACTCCTTTTATCCATTATATATTCCACAGAATTAGTGTCACTATTTGGGTTACCTCATTCTGCTGTTATAATTATTCCCACTTCTGTGCACAAACTTGAGCACAGAGGTTGGAATTTGAGGGGAAGAGTGTCAGTTTGAGTCCTTGTTGATCTGAGATAAAGGTATATTGACTTGGCATTGAGCAGGTGGCAGGCAGTGCAGGAGGGTGGCTGGACTGTGAATTTGGGACCCACAGGCTGATGGCATTGTGTGTGACGGGAATGTGGCTGTTTTGCTCCTGATCATGAATTCCTTTAACTTCTGTTTTTCTGGGAAACTCTAACTCTCCTTCTATTCTGAATAAAAGCCTTGTTGGATAGAGTATTCTTGGCTGTAGATTTTTTCCTTTTAGCACTTTGAGTATATCATGCCACTTTCTTCTGGCCTGCAAAGTTTCTGCTGAAAGATCCACTGATAGTCTTATGGGGTTTCCCTTGTATCTAAATGCTTTCCTTTTCTTGCTGCTTTTAAAATTCTCTCTTTATCACTGCTTTTGGCCATTTTATTTACTTGGTGTCTTGGTGCAGACCTCTTTGGATTGGTTTTGTTGGGAACTCTGTGTGTCTCCTGGATCTGGATTTCTCTTTTCTTCCCCAGATTCAGAAAGTTTTCAGCTATTATTTCTTCAAATAAGACTTCTGCCCCTTTTTCTCACTCTTCTTCTGGGATTCCTACCATGCGACTGTTATGCTTGACAGTGTTGCTGAGTTCCCTGGGTCTATTCTCATTTTGTATATTTTTTTCACTCTTACCTGCTCAGCTTGATTACTTTCCATTACTCTGTCCTCCAAATTGCTGATCTGTTCTACTTCCTCTTGTTTGCTATTTATTCCAGGTGGTCTATTTATTTTCATTTAGTGAGTTCATTATCTCTAATTGGTTCTTTTTTAGGTCTCCTATCTCTTTGTGGAGGGTCTCATGGAGGTCCCGCACTCCTTTCTCAATTCTAGTGAGTTTCTTTATGAGCATTACTTTAAATTTGCTGTCAGACATATTACTTATCTCCATTTTGTTTAGGTCTCTTGCTATGATTTCATTCCACTCTTTCATTTGGGACATATTCTTCTGTCTCCTCATTTTGTCTATTGCTGTGTCTGTTTCTATGTGTGAGGAAAGAGCTATGTCTTCTGCACTTGAAAGTAGTGGCTTTATGAAGAAGAGGTCCTGTAGTGCCCCACAGTCCAATGTCTCCTTTTCACCAGAAAATGGTCTTTAGGGGTGCCCCCTATGTGTGTTACTATAAGGGTGTCTTACTCTTGTGGTGGAGCTGTGTTTGTCTTCAGTCCAGCCAGCGATGGCTCTCTGCCTGTTGTGGGCAGGGTCTGGTGCCTATGGTGTTAGTGGGCCAGTCTGGCGGTGCCTTGGGCTTGAATTGAGTAAGACCAGGTATTTGCCAGAGATGAAGTAGCACCGAACTACAGGGCACTTTCCCTGTGTTGTCCCCAGAGAAACTTTTATCAGTGGGTGGAGACTGTAGTCAGACCAGCTGCCTGCCCCCAGCCCACTGCTGGGGTCATAGTCAGACTGATGTGTGGTTATCTTCTCCTCTCCCTGGAGCAGGACTCACTTTGGAGTGGGGTTGACCCTTGTCTGGGCTGTGCGCACACTGCCAAGCTTGTGGCACTGCTTTGATGGGATCTTGCCAAGAGCATATTGTAGTAGGTGGACCCACTTTGCTGTGGCCTCTTGTCTACATCCAACTGAGGAGTGTCCGTTCTACCAGTTTTCTGGTCACTTTCAGGGTTATTTATGCCAATGTGGTTGTTCTCTAGGTGGCCACACCACAAGAGGTGAGCCCAGGGTCCTCCTACTCTGTCATCTTCCCAGCAGCCTCTGTTCACAAGAATAGTCTTTTCAACAAATGGTGCTGGGTCAATTGAATTGCCACATACAAAAGCTTGAGTTGGATTCTTACCTCATACCATATACAAAAATTAACTCAAAAAGGATCAAAGACCTAATGTAAAGTTAAAATTATAAAACTTTTAGGAAAAAAAACCCCACAGAAATGATCTTGGATTTGGCAAAAGATATAAACACCAAAAGCACTAGCAACAAAGAAAAATGAAGTTGGACTTCATTGAAACTATAAATTTTTGTGCTTCCAAAGACATTATGAAGAAAATGAGAAGACAACCCACAGAATGGCAGAAAATATTTTAAAATTATATATCAGAGGCTTAGATCTATATATCCATAAAGAACTCCTACAACCCAATAATAAAAAGCCAGATAATCTAATTAAAAAATAAGGAAAGGATCTGAATAAACATTTCTTTAAAGAAGACATGCACAGTCAGAGAAAGACGAATATCATATGACTTCATTCACATGTGGAATTTAGGAAACAAAACAGATAAACATAGGGAAAGGGAAGGAAAAATAAAATAAGATGAAAACAGAGAGGGAGGCAAACCATAAGCTATAGAGAACAAACTGAAGGTTGCTGGAGGGGAGGCAGTTGGGGGTATGGAAAAAAATGGGTGATGGGCACTAAGGAAGGAACTTGTTGGGATAAGCACTGGGTGTTATATGTAGGTGATAAATCACTAAATTCTACTCCTGAAACCAGTGTTACACTATATGTTAACTAACTTGAATTTAAATAAAAATAAAATAAAATAAAGAAGATATGCAGATGGCCAATAGCACATAAAAATATGGTTGATATTATTAATCATCAGAGAAATGCGCATCAAAAGAATGAGATACCACTTCACACCAGTTAGGATGGTTGTAATAAAAATGTCAGATAATTGCAAGTATTGATGAGGATGTAGAGAAGTTGAAACCCTCATACACTACTGGTAGGAATTTAAAGTGGTGCAGCCACTTTGGAAAACAGTTTGGTAGTTCCTTAAATGGTTAAATATAGAGTTACTATATAATCCAGGATTCTTACTCTTAGGAACATATTCAAGAGAAATAAAAACACATATCCGCACAAAATCTTGTACAAAAATATTTATAGCAATATTATCCATAGCCAAAAGAAGGAAACCACCTAAGTGTCCATCAATGACAAATAGAGAAATGAAATGTGTTATAACAACGCAATGGAATATTATTCAACTATAAAAAGGAATGAAGAACTGATATATGCTACAACATGGATAAATCTTGAAAACGTCGTGCTAAGTGAAAGAAGCCAGCGCCAAAAGACCACATATTATATGATTCCATTCGTACGAAATGTCCAGTAGAGGGAAGTCTATAGAGATAGAAGGTACGTTTGTGGTTGCCTAGAGGTGGGGTAGTGGGGTCTGGCAAATAGAAGGTGATAGCTAAAGAGTATCAGGTTTCTTTTTGAGGTGATGAAATGTTCTAAAATGGACTGTGGTGTTGGTTGCACATATCTGAATATCTAAGAACAACATTGAATTTTATACTTTAAATGGTATCACATATGAACCATATCTTATGTAAGCTGGTAAAAAAAACTACCCAGAGTGAAAATACAGCCTAGCTCCAGAACTCCAGTAATTTAATGCACCCTTCCACAATAAGGGCAGACCCACGTAGGGCAGCCATCTGTGAAATCCCTATAAATTGGAGTATTGCTTGAGATGGGAGCAGGGACAGTTTTAACTTCTCTTTATTGAGTGTGTGCAAATGCTTCAAGGGAGTTCACCTACCTTCTCTTTGTTTTCCTCCTATTCTATTATTCTTCCTCCACTTAGCTCCATAGTCATCATAATTCTGAGGACTGGGAAAGAAGAACCATTTCATTTCCATTTGTCTGGCTGAAGCAAGAGCTGGTTGTAGTGATGGGGACTCTGGTCAGAAAGAGAACAGAAGAGCCATCTTGGATCTTTTCTGAGATCCTACCCTCAACTCTCCCATAATTTGTAAGTTTCACAGTTTATTTGTAATTTTAAACCCCCTTTTTTCCTTTTCTTTTTGCTTTATATAATGCACATTTATGTTACAATAGAGCCTGATTTTCTACAATAGGCTTTTAAGTGTGCTTTTGATTCAAACACAAAAGCTCTACTTCAATGTAATAAATAAATACCCAGCCATTATTGTACCAAATAATTCACAAACCCCAAACACACTTGGACTTAGACACACATCCTGTCCTCCTTGCTGAAGTCCACTTCAGCATGTGGCATGTCCCCTCCCCCAACCTCATTACGGAGCTCGAGAACAAATTACTGTGCTTTTCAGACAATGAGTCTGTATTCACTATTTTTGAGTATAAATAAGTTTGTAGTTAGAGTATTAACCTTTCTCACTGCCACGCCTGTTGGAGGCATGTAGGCAGGACCTAGGTCTGGATATGCCACTGATTTATTTGTGGGCTGATTCTATTTGTGACATTTTCTATTCTCTCATCAAGATTCTCTCCATGCTCTAACCAAGATTCCCCACTTACACACTCATGTGCTGCTGGAGACTTGGAAAGTCTACCTGCTGTCCAGCATGTGAGTTACTCACCTCCAGGCACATCTTGCTTCTTCTTATATCTGACACTAACTCATTTTGGGTTATTCCCTTTGGCATATATTACGCTCCTCATTTTAATGGATGGAGTCCACACCACTAATTTTTCTACTTCTCACATGACAGAGAAATCGAATTTTATTTTTAAACCCTCCCTCTGGTCATCACTGCGGACAGCTGTGCCCAGTGGTCAGTCTTCTGGGGGGCACTGGCAGCAGTGGCTGCCATGGTTTAAGCTGCCATATTTTACTCAGCCTGAAATTTATCCTAACTTTCAAATGTATCATGAATACTGCTTGGGCTCAAGCTGGTAACCACAAGGCAAGTCATCTACACACCTCAATTTCAGAGGTTCTGTCACTAAAGAAAGAAGGGGATATTAGGATGTTAGGAAACATGACACTTCATGTAAAACGACTCCAAGCCCCAATGACCAAAATATCAAGAAGTCCAGAACCTCCTAAGTCTGCCTCCTTGATTTGTCAGAGGCCCTACGAGGCGTTTAGCATTGGGTCCTCATTGTTCACTGAGGAGCAGGAACTTGGATGGATTCCTACAACAGCTAGAGAGCTTCCTTGATGCTGGGCTGAGTGCAGATTCTTTAGCAGCTGTACCTCTGTGCTGTCTCGGCCACTGCTGCCAAGGACCCTCAGAAGACTGACCACTGGGCACAGGTGTCCCCAGTGATGACCAGAGTGAGGGATGTTTTCCTCTGTACCACCAACCAGTCCTTCCCCTTAATTCTCCACACACAGCAGAAACCAGACTATACGTTTCTGAGAATTTTCTGAACTTTGAAGACAGTGAAATGGAAATACAATAAGGACAAGGGCTTACAGTGAGCACACAGACCCAGACCCTCCAGGCTTCTTTACCAGGCTGCTCCCTCCCCCCATCATTGGAGGTACTCTGAACATCTCCATACTTCAAACTCTAAAAAATGACCCTAAGAATGTCAGGGAGAGGAAATATATAATCTTATCTCTAAGATCCACTTCGAGAGCCCCTATTCTTTAGACTAGAACATCCCGTTCCCCAGGGTGGGGACATCTGTTCCTTACAGAACCACCTACAGGGTATGGTATTCAGGCATGGAGCCCACAAGAATTACATCACCATTAGAACATTGGCTGAAGTCTAGACTATTGACCATAAGTACCCGCAGCCCAGCCAAAGAGGGCTGAAACAAGGTCAGCCCTGCTCCTATGCAGTCTCATCTCATCAACTACTTGACCCAGTTCTTCAATTTCAGCCTTAGTCATAAACAAGTGCCTTCCTTACCACAGGACTTCAATTTAGTCTGTGGAGCTTGGCTGGCAAAGCAACCTCCATCCCCTCATTCTTCCCTGCACTTCTCCATCTCTGTCGATGTAGGAGTTTTATCAATTAGGATGTATCTGATAGCAAGCCAAGCCTTTCTCAAGCCGAGGATTCTGAGTTTGGCACTGGTCCTGGGGAGAGAGGGAGTTAGGAGGTCAGATGTAACAGGAAGCCATGCAGGGGCCCTGTTTTAGACATTTACGTCCTGCGATTGGCCTTATGGCAGTTCTGTCTACTTAATTTATGGCGACAATTTGACAACAGAACTACTGGACAGATATGATGGCATTTTAAGAGGGATGTGTGTCCTTCCAATCCAGATACATGTACAACCCACAGCACCTCCTTGAAACTGTTTCTGTCGACTAAAGTAATAACCTCCCAGCCTGATTCAGTAAAAACCTGTGGGACTACCTCTGAGAATCCTAGTAATAGAAAGTGTGGTCTACCTGCAAAAGGGCAGTGTTGGGTTGTACCTAATTTCATGTGGGCTTTTGTCCTTGTTTTCATGACTCTAGCACAATAAAATGAGTCATCAATTACAAATGTAAAAATACGAGATATAAATAATTAATTTCCTGCTAATATATGCTAATATAATTTCCTGCTGTGTGTGGAGAATTTCTGCTGTGTGTGGAGGGTGGTGTTGAAGATGATAGCAACAAGATGACACTGTTATATGTAAGAGATGAATCACTGAATTCTACTTCTGAAACCAATATTGCACTGTATGTTCACTAACTAGAATTTAAATTTAAAAAGCGGGAGGGAACCCACGTTGAACTTTGTAAACACTTTAGGTATTTGAAATTGTACCTTCTCTTCTATTCAGTGGTGCATGTTTATATCACATTCTCTTTGCGCCATTCCCATTTATTTTTCATGGGAATTATCTTGCTATTGGAACTGAAATTTTCTTTAGCTGGACTCTCCACTGTGGGAAAATAGTGGAAGAATGTTCTTACCTTTGGTGGTGGTGATGCTTTTGTATCCAAGAAATGGAAAAAGGAATGGTGGAAGGGAAGACACTGTGGGGTCTAAGAAGGGGGTTATTTCTATTTTTAGCAGAAAACGTTACTACCACATGTAATGGAGCAGGAGGTCTTAGAGGCCCCCATGGAGTGACACCTGACAGAGAGCTCTCTGCCTCTAGGCCTTGAGGAAGCAGGTAGGAGTTTTCTCTCCTTGGGTATAATTTTGTTGTTGAAACATCAATAAGAAAACAAGCAAAAAGCACAGAGGATAATAAACAGGTATCCAAGAATTAGCCATCCCAAAGGATCAAATGTTAATATTGGAACACATTTACTTCCAACCTTTTTTCTAAAAAAGAAAATATTATAGATATTTTGAAGTCTATGAAGTTCCCCTCTCAACTCTCCCCACCTCCATTCCCACCCAACATCCCTATGGTATCATTCCAGCCCAGGTATCAGCACTTTTTATAAACTTATGTGTCTACACATAATAGATTTATTTTGTTTGTTTTTTTAAATTACCACTTTAAAAAAAGTAATTTCTAGGAAGGATAAGGAATGAGTGAAGGAATTGAAGGGCTAGCTGAAGAACTGGATCTCAACAAGGACGGGAAGCAGCATTTCTTGGAGTCAGGGGGCAGGACCTAAGGGAGAGTCACCAAGATGGCTCAATGCCCTCTCTTCCCACACTCCCGTCCCTCCACTCTAAGAAGAGGTCTGACTGGCTGAGGCTGGGTCACCAACCCTCCCCTTGACTGGGGAGCTGGAGCACACGTGATTGACACTCTCACCAAGTCGGATACACGGGTAGAGGGGGTGAAAGCCTGGTGCCTTTGCCAGAGGAGGGCAAGTGGGTGCTGGGCAGGCGCTAACAGAAATCTCAGCCTCTAGCCACCCGCCCCATGCTTCCTCGCTCCCTTCACCCTTCTTAGAGCCACTCCCTTTTGAACACAGAATCTCAAAATTCTTCCCATGATACTTCGCAGACCTATTCACCTCTTTTTCTCTCCCCCAGACCGACTTGTCTGGGCCTTTTCGGTGTCAACTTTCTTGGCCAAAGGGCCTTATTTGTTTTCCCTAAACAAAGAGCCATCCACCCGGGAGATAAATTAAGTCACTTCTCTAAGACACACCTGGCTGCAAGAAGCTGTGTTTCCAAGGAGTACCTCTGCCTCTGTCCTACACTCACGCTGAGGAGAGAGGCCATGTTCCTGTGGCGGTCTCCTGTTTGGTTGCTGGAGGGTGGTGTTGAAGATGATAACAAGAGAGAGAATAAATATTGGGTGGAAGAGAGGAAAAGGAGGGAGAGGAGGAGTGACAGAAAACAGAGGACCTAAGAGGAAACAGGAGGGCAGTAGAAGGAACATTGTGTTTCTTCTGGGTGATGGGTTGGGTTGGGTTGGATTGAGATTCTTAAATATTTTTATGGCATTAACTTTCAGCCACTGGAGTAAGTTTCTGGTCCCCTTATCAAAAAAAAATTTTTTTAATGCATAAAATGAAATACATAGAATTACAAAGGAAACTGATTATATTGAAATATGGAAACTTAAACGTTTTGTCAAATAGTAATATGTGTGCTTCTTTCTTAATGTTTTAATGATAAGACCTGGTAGTGGGTCTAATTGCTGTAATGTGAAGAGGAAGTGATGAGCATATGTGATATAAAGATATCCATGTTCTACTGGTGACAAAATTGCAGCACTGCAATTGATCGTAGAAGGAAATGCTACATTTCAGTTAGTTGTTCATAAAAATAAAGATGTGGGTTTTATTCCCAAGCAAATCCACCAGGTTCTTGAGTTCTATCTGTAGAAACCAAGTTCAGAATTTCTGCTCTGGGGGGAGGATGAAGACGCTCTTTCCATGAGACACTTTGAAGCAAGGCGTGTAGGTGGTGCTGCTTCGAGGCACCAAGTGTGGCCCAGAGGCAGGCAGAGGGCCATGCCCTCCTCTGCACAGGACTCCACCTTGATGTGGCACCTGGGGAATAGTGACTTTGGGAGGACCAACAGTGGCCTTGTCACATGGGTGTGCTCAGTGGTACCCATCATGTGGCTCCTCCAAGTGGAGCCCCACACAGGGCAGGAGCAACATGGTGGTGAAGGTCCATGGCTGGAGGAGGAAAGGAGTGAGTGGGGCTGCTTCCCTTTCAGTACGTGGCAGCACCAGGCATCTGGTGGCCCCTTGCAGAGAGGAAGTGCTGCTTCCTGTCAGATTTGTGAGAGCTTTGTCAACATAGGTAGGGATTTTATTTTATTTTTAAATTTTTTAATTTTTTAAAAAGATTTTATTTATTTATTCATGAGAGAGAGAGAGGGGCAGAGGGAGAAGCAGGCTCCCAAGGAGCAGGGAGCCCGATGCGGGACCCGATCCCAGGACCCTGAGATCATGACCTGAGCCGAAGGCAGACGCTTAACCATCTGAGCCACCCAGGCGCCCAACATAGGTAGGGATTTTAACTAACCTTTTGTACCCAGTGAAACTAGTCAAATTCCGGAATGTCTTTCTCATCTTCTTTTTGGAGGTATGCTAAACTCTAGGAGTTCACACAGGTACTTTGAGGGTATCGGTTCAAAGGAGTCTCTGCGTCTTGATCTTGATCTGTCTTTGTCTTGAACTGAGACAGAATTCAACCTTTTGGTCCATGGGCGGCTCTGCTGACATGTGAGGATGCCCCATGTGAACCCTGGCTCCAGCATCCCCTTGCCTTAGATGCAGACTTTCTCCTCTCTCCCCCCCCCCCTCTCTCCTCCCTCCCCCCCTTTCACGGACTCAGGAAACATTCAAATGCTTTCACGTGGGAGAAATCATGGGCTTTTGCTGGCTTTTTAATGCCTGGACCTCATACACGTCATGAGCTACTACATGACCATGATGGAGCAGAGACTGCCCTGTGAGGCCTTGATGATCTGCTAGGGAAATAAGGGGGAAGTGGACTCTATCTACCCTGGGGCCTCCAAACTTGAAGAGAGATTCCATTATTTTTCCTTGTCTTGGACTAGGTTGGTGAACATGAAGGGCAAGCAGAGGTACCACACACATGAGTCACCCTCCTGCTTCCCCAGCTCCTCCCTCCCCGGTTCAGACTGTATTTATCCAGTCGCCCTGAAGTAGGGCACGTGCCCTTTGTTTACTTCTCTTTCCAGTCTTGTTATGACACAAACCTTCTGTTTTCATGCCTTGCAAGGGGGTAGCCTTTTGAAACTCCACCTTCCTGCCTTCTCTCAAAATTCTCAGCTTTTACAAATTAGGATCTGGGCTTCAAGGCCATTAATTCTAACTTTCAAGAGCCTATTTAACACTGAAAATGCAAGAATTCGTTTCTTTGGTTTCTGCATTTGGCTCTGTTCATGTAGCCATGAGTAGAAGCAGGTAGGTGACAGAGTGGGTCACAGGATAACTTTTGTGTGAGGAAATTATTTGGTATCTCAGGATATCACATCAGCATCCTGAACTGTATGAGCTCTGGACATTCACAGGCATGTGAACACTCAAGTGTCAGCTGCATTTTCTGCCCCAGACACAATTCTTTCCTGTACAGCGTGAACATATTTTAAAGTTCAGTTTCTGCTTTATCACATATCAATCTCTGAGTCAGAGAAGGCATATGATGTTGATGACGAGACAGGTCTTATTCTATTTGGAGATAGAAGAAGAAGGAGAATGAGGGGAAGGAGAAGAAGAAGCAGTAGGAGGAGGAGAAAGATGAAGACAATTAGCATGTTGAGAAAGCTCATCCGTGCAATGGACGGCGTAGGAGACAAGGGGTGTTGGGGGAGGAGGTCACATGTATCGTTGGGAGGCACAGTGCCCGGGCCTTGCTGATGGCCTAGAACACGGGCTTTGGCCGGGAACACCTTCTTCAAGGAGAGAGGTATTACCGTAAGTGGAGTCTTGGTTATCTGATCCCAGGGAGGCACGACTCCCGCCTGCACTGATGTGCTCACACTTTTCAGTCTTCTCAGGCACACCACCTCTACTCTCCACCATCTTCATTCCTCAGAGGCTCGGCCGGGCTCTTCCAGAGTCAGTGTGAATGCCGAGCAGGGACAGCAGGACAGGCAGTTTGGCTCAGGGAGCTGTGAGCAGCATCACCCCCATCTCCATGAGTGAAAATGTGAGGCAACACTCCCAGTGGAGGCCCCAGTTGGCCCCACTTGAGAAACACCTGTGTAGCCAGGGCTGAGGGGAAAGGATGGTGGTGTGCACTTGCGTGAGTTTGTTCCCACACACAGTGCCCATCGGGAAGCTTCCTTGGTGGCAACAGATGAGCAGCACACAGGCCTCACGCACCAACAGCTCCCCAGTGTTCTGGGCCGTGGAGGGGATGCCCGCAGTGCCCGGCGCCCCGCAGAGAGCAAGGGACGCTCCCCAGGAAATACTCTCACGCTCTTGAACTTGACGGAGGCTCACTTGCATCCTGCTTTGAATGGACACCCTGCATCTCGGTAAGCAAGCGGGCCACCTGAGCTGGAGGGCGGGGAGGCCCGGGGACAGCGAGCGTGCCCTGGCTCAGGGCGACAGACTTTCTCCCTCCGTGCCTTGGTCTCCTCCACTGTGTTAGTAAATTATGTCCTCCTACAAGGCGGGACTCCCCGGGAAGTCTGCACTTTCATAGCGCAGGACCCCCAGAGAGCCCATATGCTGCAGAGATAAGGCTCTGGGCCCCGGGGGGCGTGGGGCCTCCGTTTTCTCACCTGTGGAGGGCGACAGCTGCCAGTACCTACCTCCCAGGTGATGTGGGCCGAGGTGAGGCGACATCTGAAAAGTGCCTGAAAACGGTGGCTGCCACGAGTGCTCTTCAGATGTTTCCTGACTCCGCACCTCCAGCAAATCCAAAGCTGCAAGCCTGTGGCGAGCAGCAGTTATTCACAGTTTCCTGGAGACAAAGTTTGTGCTTGCGCCCTACGCCACAGGCAAAACTCCTGTAGCCACCTCTGTCCTCCGCGCAGTTTCCCTAAGGTGGCCAGCGATGGCCACTTCCCTTCCGTCACGTTCGCCTGTCTTGCTGACTTACTACCAGGAAAGTTTTAGTTTGTGATAACAGTGGGAAGTCTCTGCCTTGTTGCGGGACAGTCTGGCAGCCCCAATCCGATGAAGTTGACCCAAGCCCCATGCCCAGCAAATCTGCTTCTAGGCACCCAAGAAACTCTCCCATGGGTCGTGGGGGTCATGGACCGTGGCTACTGTGAGGCCCGCGGGAGTGGGAAAAAAGCGTGAGGGGTTCCGGCCCCGGAGCCAGAGATGAGGTGCACAGCCGGAGAGGAGGAAGGCTCTCAAAGTGGCTCGGAGTGAAAAGGCAGAAACAAAATCTCTAGGGGTTCCCACTGCTCAAGGTGAGTGTGGGGACCCGCGCGCAGACCTCACCGGGTTGTCTGATGGAGGTGCCACCTCTGTTGCCGCCCAGACCTCCCCAGGCTAGGCCTGCCCCTTACCAAGACGCCCAGGTGAGCACATGAAGGTTGGAGAAGCATCGTCTACTGCACGCGAGGCAATAGCGTGCTCTTCCGGCAGCCGTGGGAAATGAACACCTTAAAGGCTTGCCTTCAGGAGAGGGGGGATGGGACAGGAGAGAGTTATGAAAACTAAGGGGGGAACAACACAAAAGCAGAGAACTGTGCTTCCTGGGGAGAGGGGCTAGAGAGGGAGGTCCACGCAGGTATTTTCCTCAAGGAAGACTGCTGAAGATGCAGATATATTTTCCCCTCCTCCCTCCCAATCCTCGAGCCCCTAAGGGAAGCTGAGGACAAGCTTGGGGTCAAGGTGTCAGCCTCTTGTGCTCCTTTGCACACACTGCTTTGCTGAAGCAGGGCTACTGCACCAGACTTGGACTCTCTTGCCCCTTTAGCTCCGGCTGCTCCTGAAGTTCCAAATGCTTGCACACAGGACCGTGCGGAAACACGGGCGGGGCCCTTAAGACAGAGCATTTGCTAGATGCACATGGAAGAAGAGAAGCCTTTTCATCTAATGCTGATTCCCAGTCAAAGCAAAATTCCAGAGATTGTGAAGAGCAAAATAACAGTAAGCTGAAAATAATTTTGTGTTCAGAGACTCAGTACTCCGCCATTTGCTTGCAGTCTGTCTATTGCTTTATATGGTTACTTCAAAGCACTGGATGCTGGGTTCAGAAGGAACTATTAGTAACAGAAGCATGGTTTTAAAAAGAAAATGTGGGGAAGGGAGGGTAGAGGTGGGGAGATGGGATGGACCCAGACCACTTCAATAATGCCCAGAATATCCACACTGAACTCGTTTATGGAGCTGGAACAAGAAGAAGCTGGCTTTTATTTGGCCGTGTGTGTGTGTGTGTGTGTGTGTGTCTTTCAAACCTTTGAAAACTGGGGATAATTCAAACACAAGCCCATCAGGAAAACCCTGGATGAGATTACCATTGACAATTACTCTTCCAAAATGGTTAATGCAGGAAATGTCACTTAAGCAACTTCAAAACCCAGGTCCATGCCTGCCATGCATCATTTGCATGGCCATGCTGGTGATGAGTGAGGCAGGGTTATTGCAGATAAGAGAGAAGCTGCCTTTTAACACAGATGTCGTGAAAAGAAGGGCTATATACACCCCAGTGTTCATAGCAGCAATGTCCGCAATAGCCAAACTGTGGAAAGAGCCGATATGCCCTTCAACAGATGAATGGATAGAGAAGATGTGGTCCATATATACAATGGAATATTACTCAACCATCAGAAAGGATGAATACCCAACTTTTACATCAACATAGATGGGATTGGAGGAGATTATGCTAAGTGAAATAAGGAGAGAAAGTCAATTATCATATGGTTTCACTTATTTGTGGAACATAAGGAATAGCATGGAGGACATTAGGAGAAGGAAGGGAAAAATGAAGGGGGGGGACATCGGAGGGACAGATGAACCATGAGAGACTATGGACTCTGAGAAACAACCTGAGGGTTTTGGGGGGGTGGGTGGGTGGATGGGTTAGCCCGGTGATGGGTATTAAGGAGGGCACGTACTGCATGGAGCACTGGGTGTTATACGAAAACAATGAATCGTGGATCACTACATCAAAAACTAATGATGTATTGTATGGTGACTAACATAACATAATAAAATTAAATTAAATTAAAAAAAGAAAAAAGAAACCGCCTTTTAGGAAGGAAATGGAGGCTGAATGCAGAGGTGGGGCAGGGCCAAGGAGCTCGGGCCCTGCTGGCGCCAAGAGATGGTTGGGACCTGCCCACCACGGAGAAGAAAACCCAAGGCCTGGAGACATCATAAGAATTCTTTCTACTTTGCTTTTTCCTTTCATCAGAGCAGCTCAGAAATCCCTTTACAGAAATTAATGAGGCCCTCGTTGTCATTGAGTTTATAATTTCTGTTCTACAGATGGGATAACATCTAAGGTTATAAGATGAATGAGTGACGGAGTCATCCTTATTTTCCAGGAGTTCTGGTTCTCCAAATCCATTCCTGGGATGTTGAACATGGGTTGTAGTAAGAAAGTCTTCAAAAAGGGAAAAAAAATTTGGAGCAGTCTTTGGAATTCCGTCCATGGTACTGTTTAATCTGTAAGATGTGGGGCTTAACTTGTAGAGTTTCGGAGAAGATCAAAAGAGGTAAAAGGGATGCGTAAACACCTTCGAAAGTCTACCGCCAGATGCAAACGTAAGATACTAGTGCCAATAAAGGATATGTTTTCTGCTGTGGTGATTCCTTTTACCCAAAACCCTCCTGGGAGGATAGCTCACCTCTGGGCTCGGCGGCCAGCTGCGGCCACGCCTCTCCCTCTGCTTTCTGTCCAGACCATTCATTACCCTGTGCAACTGCCCCGAGCCATTTTATTCACCCGGACTCTCAAATGCTAGCCTGACAACCTGGGCCCCTGGAGGCAAAGTTGTTAAAGTCCTTGACAAAATGTTAAAGGCCAGGCGGTAGGAATTTTCTACAAAGTCAAATTTATTCAATTGAAAAAAAAAGTGTCTTTAATTCTGAGGCCCCCCTCCCTTACCTTGGCATTAAAATGCCATTCTAACTTTTAGTGTTAAAATGATGGGCCAGTGGATGGTATGGTGTTTTTTCCCCCCCTTAATGTGTTTACTTGGAAAAATGACAAGTTGGCCACTTGATATAGGTCCTCTGGTTTTGTTTGGTTTTGTTTTTGAAATTTTATTGATCCATTACATTCCACAGTCTGAGAATCACTGCTAAATGCTCTATTGCTTTGCTTTCTGAAGGCCTGAACTTGTGCCTATAGGAAACAATGAAATGCATAAAGGTACTGGACCCTTTATAGGACACCGATCTGGGCTGGGCAGCCTCTGACTTAGGAACGAAGCCTTCCCAGAATTTGGGCAAGGGACAGGGGCATCGGAGCTCTTGCCAACAAGGGGCAACTGCTTGGACCATGACTCAGATCTTGGAGGGTGGCCTGGCCACAAAAGATTGGCGGGGGGCGGGGGTGGGGGGGACACGTGCTTCAACGTACTGCCTGGGGCTAGAAATTGTTCCCAGTATCCTTAGTGAGAGCTAGCAGAAAATCACATTTTGGATGATTGTTAGGGGTAATTCAAGCCACACTGTGTTTGACAGGTATACTGCCTGTTAATTAGGGCTTTGTGGGAAGGCCCAACACTCTAACGGCCATTTATAGTGTTGTTCCTCAGGAAAAATGCATTCTGAGTTCCAAATCGCTAAATTAAAATCAAACTCTTAATTTTTTTTTTGTGGCTATTTTCAGCTGAGTTGTATCCAAACTTCCCAGATGCTGAGTTTCACCACTGGGGTGCCTGGGTGGCTCAGTCATTAAGTGTCTTCCTTCGGCTCAGGTCATGATCTCAGGGTCCTGGGATTGAGCTCTGCGTCGGGGTCCTGGGATTGAGCTCCGCGTAGGGCTCCCTGCTCTGCGGGAAGTCTGCTTCTCTCTCTCCCACTCCCCCTGCTTGTGTTCCCTCTCTTGATGTGTCTCTGTCAAATAAATAAATAAAATCTTTATAAAAAATAAATTAATTAATTAAAATCAAACTCTTGAAATGGTTCATACAAGGTAGGACCTGGGGCCCATCCAAGAGACCCAAATGAATCAAAAATAGTAATTGGCATTTCTCTCGTGTGTTTCCACGTGTTAGCTCCAAGGTCCTGGTGAACCCCGTGAGGCAGACAGAAGAGCTGGGTTCTAGACCTGGGGGTCCTCCATGGGGCACCAGCCACATGTGGTCCCAGCTCTGATGGGCCCTAAGTATAAAGTACACACTCGATTTTAAAGACGTGGAAAAAAAATAATGTAAAATATCTCAATAATTTTAAAAATATTGATAACACATTGAAATAATATTTTGGATTTATTGTGTTTAAAATATAGTATTAAAATTAGTTTCACCTATCTCTTTGAACTTTTTAAAATGTGACTAGAAAATATGAATGGCATAAAATTTTAAATCATATATGTAATCTTTGTAATTTGTGGCTTGCTTGGTTTCTGTTGGAAAGCACTTCTCTAGACCAGAGGTTGGCAAACTACAGCCCACAGGCCAAATGTAGTTCACTGCCTGTTTTTGCCAATAAAGTTTTATTGGAACACAGTCACACCCATTTGTTTACATATTGTCCCTGGCTGTTTTTGAGCTACAGCAGCAGAGTTGAGTAGTTGCACAGAGACAGTGTGGCTTACAAAGCCTGAAATATCTACTATCTAGCCCTTTATTGAAAAAGTTTGCCAACATTTGGTCTAGACTATCAGGGTTCAAATCTTGGTTTCCAGATTTACTAGCTGTGTGACTTGGGCAAGTTTCTCTATCTGTGTGTGCTTCCGTGTCTTCATGTGTAAAATGGCGGTAATGATGAAGCAAACTTTATTCCAAGAAGTTGTTGTGGGGATCAAGAGAAATAGTATGTATCAACCATAGAGTCAATGTTCAATAAATACATCATCATCATCATCCTCATTGTCATTTTACAGATGACAAGACTGGAGATCAGAGAAGTTCTATGTGGTCCACGGTCACAGTCACACAGCTCAAATCCAGTCTGCCAACTTGTGCTTTGTTATTTCATTCAAAGTTTCTTTAAAAACAAAAGAAAAAGCCCTTTAAAAAAAAGCTTGTTCGTGCCAAGAGGGTCCATTCAGGGCCCGCATGTACCCATCTTCCTTCCCAGATGTGGCCTCAGATTATTCTCAACACAGTTCTCCAGGTAGTAAGCACACCTGGATTTGGCATATGAGCTGAAACCTCTTTGTCATCCCTGTTCCATAGACCTGGAATTCAAGGTCAGTTGGGTAGACAAATTCCAATGTAAGTCACCTCTCAGCATATCAAATTAAAAGATAGCATACATTTGGGGTCCCCCAAGAGTTGAGGAGTCTTTAAAAAATTGGGGACATAAAATGCAAATACAATATTTTGCATTTACAAAGTTGTTTGCAATTTATAGAGCATCCATATAAGGTTAGCAGGGAAGATACGGGTATTCCACTTTCAAAGATGGGAAAATTGAAGGTCAGAGAATTGATGATTGCTCACCATTAGAAGCCTAGTGAGAAAGAAGCAGAACTTAGACCCTGGTCTGCAGGCATCGGTGGCCACTTTCCCTTAGAGCCAGAGTCCTTGATAGAAATGCTTCAGAGAACTGGCAGTGTAAATTTTGGAAGGAAGATGGGTATTTTTGTACAAATCCCATAGCAAGACTCTTCAGTTCCAAAAATGTTTACTTTCTTCCATTTCTCCTGAGACATGTCTCCTTCTTACCTTTCTTTCCTCCCCAACTTTGATAATGATAGGGTGTTTTGATTAGCGATCGCTACAGAAGAAACCACCCCAAAACTTAGTGACATAAAATAACCACAGCCATTTACTACTTCTCATGATTTTGTGGGTGGACTGGGCTCTGCTGGGTGCTTCTTTTGCATGGTGTGTTAGCCAGAGCAGTGGTCATTTGGAGGTTCAACCAGGCCAGAATGTCCAGGATTGCTCACTTACATGGCTGACAGTTGGGCTGGCTGTTGGCTGGGAGCTCAACTGGGGTTGTGGAATGGAATGTTCTAGTTCTTTCCAGATGGCCTTTATAAGTGGCGTGGGCTTCTCACAGCAGGATGGCTGAGTTCCAAGATGGAGTGTTCCAAGTATATGAAAGCAGAAACTGTGAATGTCTTATGGCCCCATTTAAGAAGTTGTGCGGCATCACTTCTACCACATTCTGTTGGACAGAGCAAGTCACAGGCCAGCCCTGATTCAAAATGGGAAATTGACTTCACTTTTCGATGGGAAGGATGATAATGAATTTTTAGCCATTTTCAATTCACAACATATGGGCACAGAAAAAATATGTCTCTCCTATAAGGAAAACAACAGAACAAATATAATGATAAAGTACATCAGACTTTCAGCCGTGGTCTCAAGAGATATGAGGAAGTGTGAGTCCATGACGCAGAGGGGCAGGCATGCCCTGTGGGAATGTAGGCCCACCATCTCTAAAAAATCTCCCAATTTCCAAGAGAGGGCCCAAATACGAATTTTCATGTGAAGTCTCTGCTTTTGCAATGTGAGCTCCCCCTTTAAAATCCCATTGCATGGGGCAAATTGACCTGTGAGCTTCCAGTTTTCAACTTCTGCCTCTCACCTCCACGGGACAGCTCATCCTTTCCCTGAAACACCTGTTGGTAAGACAGTCGCGAAACAAACTGAGGGTTGCTGGAGTGGGTGGGGGGAGGGTTGGGGTGGCTGGGTGATAGACATTGGGGAGGGTATGTGCTATCGTGAGCGCTGTGAATTGTGCAAGACTGTTGAATCACAGACCTGTACCTCTGAAACAAATAATACATTATATGTTAAAAAAAAAAAAAGAAGAAGAAGAAGAAGATAGCAGGAGGGGAAGAATGAAGGGGGGAAATCAGAGGGGGAGATGAACCAT